TGAATCTGGCACCTGCAGTGGGAGATGGGGACTGTCTGCCTACACGCTGCCCCAGGTCCCAGGTGTTCCTGAGGTTTAGGGACATTCCTGGCTGCCCTGTCCCTTGGTTGCTAAGCTCCTAAAAACTCCCCATTTTTGTGTAAACTGATCGAGTTTGGATTTCTATGATCTGAAGTCAGACGTTCTCACTGATAAAGTACCATTAACGATCATTTTTGTTTAGCTGCTTATTTTTCCTTATAATAGTGTACATTGATTGCGTACGTTCTGTGGACCATTTAATCTGAACAACACTCCTGAAAGGATTTTCAATGCTTGTTTGTACTCAGAATTCAGCACCTTAGAGCTGCTCATCTCACCATTGTTTCATAGCGTCCTCTTTACCCTTTGAGTATTTGCTCCTGTGGTTTTCTGACTCTGTCGCCTATTCCTCAGCCTAGAACTCTGTCTGGCAAAGCCCTGCTCATCGTTCAAAGCCAACTTTGATGTAGCAACCCATAGAGACTTCCCTGCTCCAGGCAGAATGAATCACTCCCTTTCTTCTTGCTCTCCAATTCACATTAAATTATGGTTAATTGGTTACAAGTCTGATCCCAATACCATGTTGAAGGCCCCATGCAGGCAGGGACTGTGTATTCTTCATTATCTAACTCCTGTTCCTGACACAATACCTGCCCTAGAATCGTGGCTTAATAACTATTTGTTGAGTTAAGTTGATTTGGGGAACATGCAGAGCCTAACCAGTGTGAATGAAGAAATTATATCGTTATGCATGGACAAATATGAAAAATGACACAAGATGGCCCTACTGCTATGGCTCACGTGAGCAGATGTCTTTACAAGGAGGAGTGGGGGCCGTCTGGTGTGACTACTGAGAGACTTCCAACCTATCACTTCTAATACAGTTTACTCTCAATACTTATTAAAGTCTAAACACTTTTCACTAACTGAATTTGTGATGCCCAGGCACTCATTGTGGCATAGACAATAGAAAATAGATATGATGTCACCTAGCATCCCAGGTGACATTCTGAATATGATTTTTGTCAGAGTTGGCTTTATATTAAGTGAATGGCACAAGACTGTGTAGCATGGGGTGGTGTTTTCACTTCCAGGATTGGAGATGACTGTTTCATGGCCCAAGCCCTGACCGTGCCTCTGGGCCTGGCTCTGAAGTTTAAAGTGTGCCTTTTTAGGACAATGGTTTAAATGTCTCCAGTGGCTCAACTGCTCCCGGATCTCGTCCATAAATCAACCAGTGTGAGGCAGCAGAAAATGGGTGTTGAGCTGTATTGCATAGGGACCAGGAGGTGCAGAAGCCAGGACATAACATTTAGTGAAAATGAGGAAGCCGGAGAAATCACTAGTTTGGCTTACAAATCCAACGCTCCCAGATACACATGATTTACCAACTTCTTAGTGTCTATGGCCAATGTTTTATCTCAATCCTTGCTCAACTAGCTTCCCAACCTATTTTTGGACTTCCTCCTTTTGGCCTGTAATTGCCAAATGATCACAAAATGAAACCTGATATTCCCCTAAGAAAACATGAGAAGGCGTAACTCACTAATGGAAAATACTTGAAAGATAAATTAAAAATGACTCCTGGAGTATCTGAGTGTCAGCCCCTCTGGAAGAACATAAATGAGAGTTCACTGGATTTTAAACAGACTCTTTTCATTGAATTTGAAATACTCAATTAGAAACATAGTTGGATGGGTGCCTGGGTGGTTCAGTCAGCTAAGTGGCAAACTTTGGCTCAGGTCGTGATCTCGCAGTTCGTGAGTTCAAGCCCAGCATGGGGCTCTGTGCTGACAGCTCGGAGCCTGGAGCTTGCTTCAGATTCTGTGTCTCCCTCTCTCTGCCCCTCCCCCACTCATACTCTGTCCCTCTCAAAAATAAATAAATATTTTTAAAAATTTAAAAAAAAGAAACATAGTTGTGAAAGTCACAGTAAACATTTTGGATATGTAAACTAAAAACCTTCTGTGTTTTGACACTTTTGTAATAACAATACTAATATAGCATTAATTTAGGCATAATAATTGGTCTGTAATTCATCTATTGATTTTTTTGAGTACTCATACATTTTTTATTCTTTTAAATGCAAGATTATATAATACATTTTAATTAGGGCAACTTGAGACACTTAATAATAGATGCTATAGCTAATTCCATTTTTATAGACTTCTCCTTGTTTTTCCCAAGACTGAGAAAAATAGAAAAGGAAAGAAAACAAGATACACTTTTGTCATAGATGGGGAGGCCTGGAACGCAGAACGAACACTCACAGCTAAGTTGCTCTGCAGTTCTGCTCGGTTCTTGCGGGAGATGATGGTTCAGGAATTCAAGCGTTCTTTTTCTGGACACCACTGCTTCTCAAAGTTCTGATTAGATTGCTTTACGTGATTACTCACACAGTCCGTGACATGATTATTCAAAGCCAAACTAAAGCCAAGATGCCATTGCTGTTTCAAGATTTTGCATTTCATTGGCTGGTTTTCTACCATCTCAGAAAGCACCACGCCAAGACATAACCTCTGTGACCCAGAGAGGATGATAGCTTTTTTTCTGCAGATCAGAGTATCTACTGGAAATAGAGACACTCCTAACTTACAAGGAAAAATAAATGTACTCTGTGAACAAACATAGGCAGCCAAGGAGACACGATGACTGAATGTAATGTGGTGTCCTGGGTGGAGTCCTGGCCCAGGAAAAGGCCACTAGTGATAAAGCTAGTGGCATCCAAAGAACATTTGGAATGTGGTCAATGGTACTTACCAACGTTAATCTCTTCATTTTGACAAATGCGCCAGAAGATGCAAGATGTTGACGTTGGAGGAACCTGGGTAAAGAGCATCTGGGAACTCTCTGGACTATCTTTCCGACCTTTCTGTAAATATAAAATTATTTCAAAATTAAACATTTACTCAGAGCAAGGGACGGTGAGAGAGTGTAGAACAGTCTCCGACAGACGGAGAGGCAGGCAGCTTCTGCAGACAGAGTCGAAGCATTCACACGTGAGAAAGTGAAGCCCCGGGGCAGCCAGTGCATGACTACCGTCAAAATGAGCTCCTTCGGGGAAAGTTCAAAGAAAGTGTCGACGCATGTGACTTAACAGCAAAGACTGAATGAACCGATCAGGATTTGATCTTACTGTTTAAAGGCCTGGGTAGATTCAGGATGTTCCAGGTAGAGGGACAAGGCTTAAAAGTAAAAGTAAAAGGCTTAAAGCTATCAGTACTAAGAGTAAGGTGTCAGAACGCAGCCAGAACCAGCCTCACTGGAATGGAGTATTCAGATGGGGGCAGGGTTAGCTATGTAATTTGAGGTTCCGGTGCCAAGTGAAAATGTCAAGTTCCTTGTTCAAAAAGCAGAAAATGGTTTTTCTCCTTTCTTACGTTCTCTCTCTTTCTACTCACCATGGCATTTTTTATTTGCTATTTAACATCTGCTCCCTTGGACAGAGGGATGCTTGCTGGGTGAATGCAGGCCCCCGCAGGCACTGGGAGTCTCACCCTGAGATCCCAACACTCCCCATACCTGTACCCAGGTCCCTGTACAGTTGTTAACCAAGGACTCAGGTGTGGTGGCTGAAAACCCACCCCAGGAGGTGGGGAGACAACAGGAGGCAAAACCAAGCCTGAGCTGAGGCTCCAAGCCCCCTGCTTGTGCTCCATTATCCCATCAGAAGTCACTTAGAGGGGCACCTGGGGGGCTCAGTAGGTTAAGTGACCCACTCTGGGTTTCGTCTTGGGTCATGACTTGCAGTTCGTGAGTTTAAGCCCGCATCGGGCTCAGCATAGACAACATGGAGCCTGCTTGGGATTCTCTGTCTCCTCTCTCTCTGCCCCTCCCCTGCTCATGCTCACTCACACTCTCTCACTGTCTCTCTCAAGTAAATAAACTTTAAAAAAAAAAAAAAGAAGGAGTTTGGGTGGCTCGATCAGTTAAGCATCCAACTTTGGCACAGGTCATGATCTCGTGGTTCATGGGTTCAAGCCCCGATGGGGCACTGAGCTGACAGCTCAGAGCCCGGAGCCTGCTTCAGATTCTGTGTCTCCTTCTCTCTCTGCCCCTTCCCCGCCTATGCTCTGTGCCTCTCTCTCTCTCTCTCTTTCAAAAATAAAATTAAATAAGTAAGTAAATAAAAAAGTCACACACAAAAAAACTGAAATGTAAAAGAATTTCCATGTGGCACCCTGGACCTTGGAGGGGGGGTGGGGTGTGTGAGGTTCTTCCAAAGAAGCACAGCACCCCGTGTGACTGCACTGGCTCCAGGCCCATGAAGCCAACCCTGGGTGGGGGTCCATGGAGATTAATCAGGATTGGGAGGGGCTTAACCCGTGGAGGATCCTGAGGCCTGCGTTTTCATCTGTAAGAGCAGGTAGAGGCCAGAGGTGATTGAGGAGACACAACCAAATTGGACTTTAGTGACCAGTCCGATGGAAAAGCGTAGGGTGGACTCGACAGGAGTCACTGTGGGCACTTTCACTAGTTAGGAATTCAACAGCCAACCTTAGGAAGAATGAGGAGGATGCAAGCATGACGTCACAGTTTCCCTCCCTTGAGGTAAACTGTTTGTTGTTAGCAGTTCTAATTCAGAACAGGTGCATCAGACCAAGCGCCATTTTCTAAAGTTCAGTTTTGGTGGACAGAGTTATCTAAAAAGATCCTTCATCTTAGGGACACAGACCTTGCCAACGCAGACTTTTCTTTTTAGGAGCCCCTCTGATAAAATTAGAAATGAGCTCAAGGAAGGTTCCATCAGGGCTGTGTGTTTTACTGCCACGGCATTTAAAATCTTGTTCCAGGGGTACCTGGGTGGCTCATTTGGTTACGTGTCCAGTTCCTGATCTCAGCTCAGGTCTTGACCTCAGGGTTGTGGGTTCAAGCCCTGCATTGGAGCCTACTTTAAAAAAATAATACAAATGAACAAAATCTGTTTCCAGTTTTCCTTTTGGCAGGTTCTCAAACTGGTATGAACTCTTTCTTCCCAGGTACCTCCAGATCATCAGTTACTCGATGTAAACCAGGAGCCAACTGCCCCAGTTCACACAGTGGCATCAGTAGGCAACTGTCCCCTCTTTCTGTCACCGAAGATTCTTCTGCTCCTATTCTTGAACTTCAGAGCCGAGGATCTTCTGGAGTTTGCGGACATAGAGTCGAAAGGCAGAACAGATCAGGTGAGCTGGTGACCTCCTCTTTTTTTTTTTTTTAAATATGAAATTTATTGTCAAATTGGTTTGCATACAACACCCAGTGCTCATTCCAACAGGTGCCCTCCTCAGTACCCATCACCCACCCTCTCGTCCCTCTCACCCCCCATCAACCCTCAGTTCTGTTTTTAAGAGTCTCTTATGTTTTGGCTCCCTCCCTCTCTGACCTCCTCTTAAATAACAGTACACCTAGGTAACCTTCGAACCAGCCGTGAAAGATCACACCATTGGCCCAGAACGCAGGGATGTTACATGGACTCTGAGGAGTGGGAGTGGGGAATTTATCAAGTGGGAGGAGAAGGAAGAAGGGACATGTATAGATGGGATCTGTTAGTGGGATACGTACAGTGTAGCAGAGAAACCAAATACCAAAACCTGCCGTTGCAGGGCTTAACACATGATTAAATGGTGACACCCAGGGCGCCTGGGTGGCTCAGCCGGTTAAGCGTCTGACTTCGGCTCAGGTCATGATCTCGCAGTCTGTGAGTTCGAGCCCCGAGTCAGGCTCTGTGCTGACAGCTCAGAGCCTGGAGCCTGTTTCAGATTCTGTGTCTCCCTCTCTCTGACCCTCCCCCGTTCATGCTCTGTCTCTCTCTGTCTCAAAAATAAATAAACGTTAAAAATAAATAAATAAATAAATAAATAAATAAATGGTGACACCCTATTAAGTTTACAGGGTATCTAGTTTCCGCTTCTTGAAGATGTCAAAAGCCAGCATCTTTGCTCTTAGCCCTGGGAGTCAGTGGTAGCGCACTCCCACTCTAAGAAGAACGAAAACACTGTTAGTAAAATCACAGACTCTGCTTTTGTGCTCGTCAGGACTGCCGGTCTTTGGAGCCCTTCTAGTTTCCCCAGTTTTGCACCTTCAGGACACCGCCTGCTTCCCCGATCAGCATTTAACTAATCAGTCAAGTCCTCTACACTTTCCTCACATACATTTGACCACACTCAACAACTCCCGGGTTACTTGGGTTACTGGAATTGCTCGATACATCTCATAACTAGATCCAGGAGTTTCCCAGCAAATTTGTAATTTCCCAATGCTCCTGAGTCCACTAGGCTGTTGCCCACACCAGTACTTCTTGGCGGTGGCCATCTTATGGCCTTCCCCAGAGAATGTGCTCAGGTACCCAGTTCATACTCACTTCCTCTCGTCACATGACCACACTTCCGTTTCTGCAAAAAGCAAAACAGTTGTATGCCAACAGACGCTTGCCTCTTTGCCTTAATGTCTCCATTCTTTTGTTTGCCAGTGACCATCACTTTGGGACCGTCTTTAATGTGTGTGTTCCTGTCATTCCGATGTGAACTCCTTTTGCTATGTCCATGATCACTTCCTCTCCATCACTTTTCACCTGCATTTGCAATCTCTCCTTCCACTCATTCCTTCTGCTTTATCAGTAACATATTTAAAATCTCTTGCATCCTTAAAAACAATAATCAAACAGCAAACAACAACAACAAAATACTCCATCCAAAATAAGTGGTTAGTTGAAAACAAAACATAACTTGGAGAAAACTGGCCTAAAAAAATAAATAGAAGGGAAATGGAAATTCAGGGGACTCAGTTAGGGATGGGGGGCAGTAAATAAAGGTATACAGGAAATATGAAAGCCTCTTCTAGGGTACTACTAATTGGATAAGAGGGGTTTTTTTTATATAAGAAAAGATATTTTTTTCAAAAAGTGACAATATTTTAAAACACTATATCAGCAACTATTGACCCTAAGGCTAAGGCTCTTTTTAAAAAAAATTTTTTTCAACATTTATTTATTTTTGGGACAGAGAGAGACAGCATGAACGGGCGAGGGGCAGAGAGAGAGGGAGACACAGAATCGGAAACAGGCTCCAGGCTCTGAGCCATCAGCCCAGAGCCCGACGCGGGGCTCGAACTCACAGACCGCGAGATCGTGACCTGGCTGAAGTCGGATGCTTAACCGACTGCGCCACCCAGGCGCCCCTAAGGCTCTTTTTAAAAAAATGAAGAAAATGGCATCATAAATCTTCAGAAAATTTTAATTGGCTTTAATAAGTTGCAGTAATATTCCTATTATCCCAGTTATCTGCAGAATAGAATGTTCCAGTTAATTAAGTATTCTGGTTAATAAGGACTTGCTTTATCTATCATATGCAAACTACAAATTAAATATACTGGTTGACAAAGACTTGCCATATCTGTCATATGCAAACTACACATGTCAAAGGCTATACCATGAAAGATCACATGGGACGTAATTTACTCTTTCTGCGATGACTCAGAAGGCACTTAGGGTTATTCCAGGGCACCATAGAAAAATGAGAAAAGGAGAATAATCTGAAGAGCAGCTCACCATGCTTTCAGGAATACTATGTACTTAACCTCAAAACAAACCCCATGAGGCAAATATTATCACTGTTTGGCAGATGAAGAAGCTAAGCTAGAGTCAGACATGTGCTCAAGGCCATACAGTGGTTCTACTCATGTGTCCAAATTCCAGTGGCCTCTACCAGTAATGACTCTAATCCAGGCTCGTAGTAAGGGATGGAACTCCTGGTATATCAGTTTGAAGGATACATACAAAACCATAAAGCTAAGCAGGACTGTCGAAAATTTTAAATGACCAGAAAAATAAAAGAGCTCTGTAGACCCAGTCTTTCTAGGGTATCTATAGGCGGTAAAATTAAAGATTGGCAACAATTACATCTAGTTAGCAGAAGAATGGGTCAAAGATATGGAGGGATTTAGGTGACGACTAATGTCATCCAAAGTACTGTCCATGGTATGATGGTGGCACCAAGCGACCTTCAGAGAAGGTGACAGTGAAGGCAGATATCAACTTAAAGGGATATTGAGAATCTCTGTAGAATCATTCCTCCTTTATGAGATAGTCCCTGAGAATTAATAATCTGAAATGTAGAGTATACCTTTCTCTTAGACATCACTCCTCTTAAACTTTGTACAAGACTACCATTCCCATCAGGAAACAGAAATTTTTCTCCAAGTCCCTTCTGAAACTTCCAGTGCTTGAATGGAGAGCTCAAGCCTGAAACCTAGACAGAAGGAGTGTTCAGAATAAAAGATTTGGAGCCTAGAGTCATGCTGACTTGGGTTCAACCTTGGACAACCTTTCTCATAAGCCTCAGTTTTTTCATCTGTAAAATGGAAGTGGTAATACCTATTTAACTGAGTAGGTTAATGTTTCTCTCCCAGCCTCCCAAGACAAGAGTCTCTTATTCTACCCTCTTACTCATTTTCTCCCCTCTGCTCTCTGCATAAGTCAGATGGTTGTAGGGAGGATTTGCAGAACTCTTATCAAGAGCAGGTATGGTCTATACACAGTAAAGGGAGCTAGCTGGCTCACACTTCGAGACTCAATGTCACTGCATCATGGAAGTTTCTCCTAATCACTTTCCACCCCATCCCTTAACCAGTGCTGCTCCTCTGCCTCCATGTGGCCTAGTATCTACCGTCTTTGGCCCTTATCACACTTGTGTTGGATGTGTGTTCTGGCTTTCCACTGGGATGTGAGCTCACGTCTTTCACTTTTGAACCCCTGGCACCCAACTAGCTAACCAGCTCCTGGTGATCTGATTGATTACCAAGTATTTTGTTGAATATATAAATGAAAGAATACCAGTTTTCATCTTCTAGAGGCCTTGGCCCTGAGAATTCAGTACGGTTTATAAGACTCGGAAGTCATGTGGTAATTGCTGTGTTTGTCATTACTTGGTTTATATTCCCCAATTCAGAATTCACCTTAAAGGCTTGCTACCCCCCCTCCCCGAATAATTATAACCGAAAGCCTTAGCTATGGGAAAGTTTTTACTCCAGCGGGGCAGTCACGCCTGGCTCATTAAGCAATAGGAGGAACACATTCAGCACGAGAGAGTCAGCAGGTTCCGGAGAGGTAAAATGACTACCATCCACTCCCACTTGCAATGTGTGGACCACACCACTTTCTTAACCCCCGGGATAAACCTTGTGCTCAAAGGAGGTACCTGGAGACAGGAGAGAACTTGTAGGCAATTCTGCCTCCCTTCCCTCAGGATTCTACCACCTGGGATCTCAGCCTGGGGATTCAGGATGACCTCTGCTCCCCTTTAGTTTCCTGAGAGGTGCATAAAGTTATTGTGTTGAACTTGTTTTCTCTATCAAGGGAGAAGGCCGTTATGATCGTCACTTTCAGGAAGTTTTGACTACTTTAATGTAAAAACTGCTGCTGAATTTTCTTAGTAAATGTAAAGATACAAAGCTGAACTCATTGTGCTCCCAGAAATACATTAAATAGTAATTTGTTCTGAGGTGGGTGGGAAACGATTTTGTGTCGTCAGGATTCGCCCTGTTCTTGGGGCACATTGCTCTTCAATTTAAGAGCCAGCTTTGCTGCACTTTAAGGAAATCAAAAACAAAATTAAAAACACTTTAGTGGAGTCTAACGACAAATATTTATTTCTCACTTACTTTTCATGTCAGCAGAGACAAGGCTGCCTTGGTTGGCTTCTGCTCATTCTCCCACAGAGACTGAAAAGACAGCTCCTATTTGGGATTTTCCATTCTAGTGACAGAGAAGGAGAGCAAGAGAGTTTAGTGGGGCCTTGTCATGCCTCTTAACAGTTCTGCTGGGCCGTGGCATACCTCACACCTCCCTGCTCACATTTGATCAAAGCAGGACATGTGGCCAAGGCCGAAGTCTCTGGGGCTGAAATATGTAATGCTTTTACAAGAAAGTGGGTAGGATACATGGAAGGGCAGTGTAGCATCCACCAAGTTCATGAGCAGTGTCATGGCTTGGATGGGGGATGAGATATATACTGTACCTTACAGAGCAGAGATTCTGGAGAGAAGGTGAGCCAGAGTTATCAGTCTCTTTAAATGATGGTGAAAAAAAAGAAAAACACTGGTAATTCTGTGTGCCTCTTTGGTCACTGTTTTATAACCTGATTTCCACACATTTGTATTCCTTTCCTGTTTTCAGGGGATGATGGAACACAGACTCATCCTGAGAACAGCAGCCAAGAAAACAGAATCAAGGCTCGCTGCCGGTCATGCACGTCCATGGTTCTGAAGGCCGTCTGGGGACTTTTGATCATCTTGTCAGTCTCATCGTCTTGGGTTGGAACCACACAGATTGTAAAAATTACTTACAAGAACTTCTACTGTCCATTTTTCATGACTTGGTTTTCAACAAACTGGAACATTATGTTTTTCCCAGTCTACTATTCTGGTCATCTGGCCACTGCTCAAGAAAAGCAGTCTCCAATGAAAAAATTCAGGTAGGTTTCATGTTAAATGGCCAACACGAGATGTTTTAAAATAACTTTATGAAAATATCCATCACTTTATCTCTTTGGAATATGAACTGAGTTGACTTGGGGAGTGTGGAGAGCTCGGATCTAGGGTTGGTAATGAATACATGAGCACTAGGAAGAAGAATCTGGGCCCCCCACCAAAAAAATTATTGAATGTCTACTACATGACAGGTGCTGTGCTGGTGCTTTTGTAGATCTTATCTTAATCATCATTGGTGGTAACATCTACCTTTGAGGGTGGTGGTATTATTCCCATTTTAACACAAGAGGAAACAGGTTTAGAAAGATTACATGACCTGTGCAAGGTCAATACTTCCAAATGACCCAGATTTCAATCCAGAATTATCTCTGAAAGTCATGTCTTAAAAGAATACCCTAGTGTCTCAGGCCCAGAAAAAAAAAAAACAAAAAACAAAAAACCTGTATTCATAAGATTGTGATAAAAACATTTGCTCAATATTCTGGAAGCTGTGGTGCCTAAGCAGATAAAGAGACCTGGTTTCATGCAAAAGGAAGTTTGGCCCTGATGGTTTAGAAGATGTCATTCTTTGCTGGCTAGGAGCACATGGGGCCTTTACTGTTGGTTCGCCGGCTCTGAACCTGGTAGTGCCATGGTTCCAGTAGTTTCTCTGTGCTGAACTTGGCTTCTGCAGCACCATCTTGGAAAGCTCAGGAAGCTGGCAGGACCAGCCCTGCACAGCACCCAATGGGAGAGGGACAGTTGTCCACACCAGCTTATTGTTCCTTGGTAGAATGGCAATAAATACATTTTGCAGAAGCCAAAATAACATTTCTTTCTTGCCCCCGTACTTACTGAAAAGAAGTGAATTTATCAGACAAACTGCAAAGCGTGTACCTTCAACTTCCATTTTCCGTCACCAGCTTGGAAGTGCCCTGAAATATTAGAGTCACACTGTGAGCTGATTTTCCATGGTATCCATGATAATTCAATTAAAATTAAACAAAACCAATTTATAAAAAAATAAATGTTTTCTGGTTTGAAGGAAAGAAATAAGTCTTATACCTATTTGTGACTGCTAAAGATACTTTGTATTTGATTCCCATCAAAATAGACATGATCTTGGGGAATAAGGTCTTTTTTGTTTGTTTGTTTAAAATGTTTTTTTATTGAGAGAGAGAGAGAAGGGTGGCGAGCCAGAGAGGGGCAGAGAGGGAGATACAAAATTGCAATCAGGCTCCAGACTCTGAGCTGCCAGCAAGAGAGTCCCATACGGGGCTCGAACTCACAAACCGTGAGATCATGACCTGAGCCGAAATTGGATGCTTAACCGACTGAGCCACCCAGGTGCCCTGGGGCATAAGTTCTTTTTAATAACAATATTTAATAAGCAATTGCAGGGGACATGATGATCAGACTAAAATTCTCCCTGTCTGAAAATAGTTTACCCATAGCATGTATGTTTTACTCCGGCGCTCCTAGGGTTTGGACACACATACTGATAAAAACAACAAAAGTTTAGTATGGGATGTAGTACCTCAGAACGCCTCAAAGCAAGCCAAGTGGGTTTTATTTAAGATAACACATTTACACCAAGAGGCTGCTGCTGACAGAAATGTTGTTTTGGGAATGAGTTTCATCTCCACTACATCTCTCATGTCTGACTAACTCTACATTTAGTGAGACCTGTGATTTGACAAGACACCTCCACCTGTTAGTGCAGGTAGAGTGAACTTGACCACTTCTGAAGCCGAATCAAAGAGCTTTTATTGTCAAGCGGAAAACATGGTCTTTGAAGAGAATATTCTCCAGAGGGCCCCTCCGTATGAGAGGTAAACATTGCCAGAAAATCCTAAGATCCTTGATCTTTTTGCCTTGTAGACTCATTAACACCATCTGCCAAGGAGGCCCTCCCCGAAGCTCTTGTGGCAGAACACGGGGAAAACAGACTTAGTGTATGAGACTGGAAACAGAATTTGTCCCGTTGCGCCAGACCCTCTATTTTCTCATTTTCTTTGAATGGTATGAAAGCATTTTCAGTGGTTTTCTTATCACTAACCTCAAAAGAATTTTCAATAATGTATCAGATCTAGATCGTGGGAATTGTGCATTTGGAAATTGTTTTGGATATTACAATCATTTCATATAAACCATGAAGAGAATTTAATTGTATCCCATGAATTTTAAATTTAATAAGAAAAAATTTATAAGCCATAGTTTTGACAGGGATGTTTCCTTAAAGGAAAAAGTCTCTAGAAAGCATGAAGCTAGAGCTAAAGATATGTTTGTCTATGTCATACACCTATGAAATGTGCTTAAGATGTCATCTGACATACAGAAGGGGTTTAGTACCTACTGAGTGCTATAACAATGTTGAACATAATTAAATTATTAGTGTCCCCCAGCTTCTAAGCTTCAGTCTAAGCTTTACCACCCATCAGTGCCTCTTGTCTAGAAATTCTGATCTCATCATTCCAAGGAGAGACCAGTTACTTGCTTATTGATAGAAAGAAATCCTTTCTTTTTTTGAATTTTCCCATTTCTTAGTACATAATGCTTAAATAGCAAAAAGTTCTACACAGGTGACCTGGCGTTTGAGCAGAGAGCATTTTTAATTCCTGCTATAGGGTTGGCAGTGAGAGGAGGGAGAAAGAGGGGAACACTAAGGAAGCCAACACCAGGGAGGGGGACAGGATGAGCCAGGTGAAAGGAACAATCTCCACCCCCTTGGGGGAGGGGCTCTCCCTGTCCCTGTGCCTCCCCGTGGGTTCAGAATAAGTCTTTGCTTGAGAGCCCTGAACCCAGCATGACGGTGGGCTCTGGGAAGGAAGAACCATCACTGGCCAGGGCCAATGATATGAAAAGAAATCCTTTCATCAGAAATGGGTTTGTTGTGGTTCTTCATAAATGTGTACTTAAAAAGCCATTTGGGGGGCGCCTGGGTGGCTCCGTGGGTTGAGCGACCCACTTCGACTTAGGTCATGATCTCAGGGGTACTTGTGACAGCACTGGGTTCTCTGCTGTCTGCGCAAGCCTGCTTCGGATCCCCTCTCCGCCCCTCCCCCCTCCCCTCCCCCCCCCCTTGCTGGCTCATGCTCTCTCAAAAATAAACATTGAAAAAATATACATATAAAGGAATATTTAAAAGTTTTTTAAATACCTAAAAAGCCATTTAGTAGTTATAGATATCAGGATGAGCCCATGACTCTGAACGCCAGCTCTCTCTGGCAAACTTTCTCACAGGGCAGATCCCTTTGGGAGCACAACCAGAATGCAGAAAACGAAGAGAATGCAGAAAATGCCAGGATGTCCCGGGCAAACTGCTGCTTGGTCTGTGTGTGGCTCTGATTCACTGTATCTCCTTGGCTGCAGGGCTTGAGAGATGCTGTCCATTTCCCTGTGTGTGTGAGCGTGTGCGATTTCTGTTTACAAAAGAATTTGTTTTTAGATTATTTCATCCCTTCCTTGAAGTTTTGTCTCTTTCAAATTAAAATTTACCTTCAGGAAATCACATTTTTTAAAAAGTTTATTTTGGGAGAGACAGCACATGAGTATGTATGAGGACAAGTGAGGGAAGAGCACAGAAAGAGGGAGAGAGGGAGAATCCCAAGCAGGCTCCTTGCTGTCAGCCCAGAGCCTGTCTCGGGGCTCAAATCCACGAACAAAACCGTGAGATCATGACCTCAGCCGAAATCAAGGGTCCCATGCTTAAATCACATTTTTATTTAAAAACAATCCTTCCTTTTTCGTTGTCTCCCACATAAACAGTAAAACTATTACACAAGTTTCTATATGTGCAATATGCATTTTTAACCTCCCTGGATTTGCTGGCCTACAATTCCCAGAATTCTCAGCTGCTGGGAAGTAGCGTTTGCCATGAGACTTGACATTGAAGGCCATACTCCAATGCTTAGAGCCTCACCACTTTGTCACTCCCTCCCTTCATGTGGCCCTCCTGTGGAGTAAGTTGCTTCATGCGTGTGAGGCAGACATTGGCTAGAGATTACTTTGGTTTGCAATACTTTGAGGCACAACTGTTTCTCTTCAGAAAAATTTAGAAGAAAAACTAATGCTAATAACCAACTAGAACCGTGTAATTTCATTATAACCATGCAAACATTAGGAACTTGTTGCTTAAACAAGATATTTATGCTACTCTTGAAAACACTTCCTGGAACATTATAGTTGCCCAGTAAATTCTTGGATGTTCATGAACAACTGAATAAAAAAAAAAAAAAATCTGAGTTACCCAATGGCGAGCCTATTTTCAGTCCATAGTCAAATAAAGTTTTTCTATCATATCATTATTGCTTGTCTGTATCACTAGTTTGAACGTTTTGATTGAAATGGCACCTTGGTTTAATCATCAAATGGGGTGCCTGGGTGGCTCAGTCGGTTAAGCGTCTGACTTTGGCTCAGGTAATGATCTCACGGTTCGTGGGTTTGAGCCCCGTGTTGGGCTCTGTACTGACGGCTCAGAACCTTAAAGCGTGCTTTGGATTCAGTGTCTCCCTCCCTCTCTCTCTCTGCCCCTGCCCCACTCATGCTATGTCTGTCTCTTTCTCAAAAAAAAACATAAAAAAAATAAGCAAATAGAAATCAAATCAAAGATTTAACGGAACTGATTATTTTATACAATTAAATTCATGTAATTCCTCCAAAACAGCCAATTGTGTGTATATAAATACAACTTGCATTTGATTATTTATTTATTTACCATTTGGAGGTCATCACAGAACCTTCCTTCATTTTTTTTTTTTTTTCCTGTCTTAAAAATGCTAGAAGAAAAACAAATTATTCAACCGGGCAGAAAGATAAGGAAGAGGCATAGTCTTTTAGGAAAAATAAAATTCCAAACTGTGTGTGGCTCTTCACCATATGTGAAGCTGCAAGTGGTCTATACCTGTTCACACAGTAGTGACCCTCCTGGTCCTATTGCATTTGCCCATTGGGAAAGAACCTTCTCTCTCTTCTAACAGTAACTCTGAAAATGACTCATTTCCCTGTTTCTCCAGGCTTCTCTGAGAATGTTCAGCAGCAGAATGGCTGTCCCAGCCATCTTGAGAGAATATCTAGATAGGAAAGGGCCTTCGCTCTGCGCCTGGAGAGACATGGGCTCTTTTCCATGGAACCCTCTGCCCCTGTAGTGGCCCAGAGATGGGAGGCCTGGGTTCAGTAAGTTCCACAGATGCATGATGGGCATTGGCGTTTGTGCTCTTGCCAGAAAATGACTGTCAAGAGTTAGACAACACAAAGTATGTCACAATTAATACCTGACAACCTTTTTTTCTTTCCTAGGGAATGCAGTCGGATTTTTGGTGAAGATGGTCTGACATTGAAGCTCTTCCTTAAAAGAACTGCTCCCTTTTCTATTCTATGGACTTTGACTAATTACCTGTATTTACTGGCTTTAAAGAAGTTGACAGCCACGGATGTCTCTGCTCTGTTCTGTTGTAACAAAGCCTTTGTCTTCTTGCTGTCGTGGATCGTGCTGAAAGACAGGTTCATGGGAGTGAGGGTAATGGCACACTTGATTCAATGTGTGAGGCCACCCGTAATTGTAGATCCTTGGCATCAGGAGTGCTGCTTTGTTTCATGAAATTTCTGTAAAACTTTCCCCATTGGTTCTGAGTACAAATTAGAATTTGAAGATGCATTAGAACACCCAGGCAGTTACAATATCATGAAAAGACAGAGATGGTCTCCCTTGGGCAGTCGGCTGATTTCGACAGGAGCCACTAAAACAGAGAAGATAAGTTCTTTTTTTAGGATTAATGGTGTGACCAACTCCTTCTATCCTCAGGGTGAAGGGGTCTGGGAAAATTAGTCACAACAAAGATTATGATTTTTTTTTTCCAGTCACCATACGTTGGGACAATTCCCTCATGCTTTCCCTCCCCCCAGCCCGAGATGGATTTAATTAACATTGGTATAAGTAGATAAGGTTACCAAACAGTAATTAAAGTCACTGGTAATGGCACAATGCTGTTAAAAGTGGCTATATATCTAGCGTGACTAATCCAGAAATGCAACGAAAAGCACCAACTTGTACTTTGGGGTACAGATCCTCAATTGAACTGTATTAAACTTCCACCGACCACTTCAGTTCTGAGTTTATTCCTTTCAGAAGTGATATGGACTTCTTAAAAGATTTTATCTTGCATGCTTGTTCTGTTAGATTGATGGAAAGTCATGGAGGTTTCAGGAGCCAGGTCTCATTCATGTATCTGGAATGCCACCATGACGAAAATATTGAGAAAATAATTCTTTAGAAAGAGTAGAAATGAAATGAAAAGCCTTTTCCCAGAAGATAAACATCACACAATTCTTCTCTGAAAGAGATGTCCAAGACTGGATGTGAAACATATTTTGCTATCAAAATATTGTTCTTACTGCAATGATCCCAGGGTCCTTGTCCCCCTAATTGCTGAAATTAATATTAGAAAGAGAGTTGATGACAGCCATTAACCCTTAAAACTTCTTTTTAATAGCAAATTCTGATTATGTCTTGGGAGATGCTACTCAGAAATTCAGAATGGAAGCTTGACATGAACGAGAAGTAGAAAGCTACAGAAGACAAAATGAGAGGGGCAACCGGGTGGCTCTGTAGGTTGACTTCGGCTCAGGTCATGATCTCACGGTCCATGAGTTTGAGCCCCACATCGGACTCACTGCTGTCAGCCTATCAGCACAGAGCCTGCTTCAGATCCTCTGTACCCCTCTCTCTGCCCCTCCCCCACCCGTGCTCTCCCAAAATAATAAAAAATAAAAAATAAATAAAAGAAGAAGATAAGATAAACTCTGAATCAGTCCAGGATGCATTAGAGTATACCCAGATATGGTACGACACTCTCCCCCAGCCAATCTTAGATTTGACATCCAGAAAGCTTAGCATCATGTTTTTGCACATCGAGCACCCGTGCTGGCTGCCTACCATCAGGTACCCTGACAAATCCTGGAGAGCAGGGACCTTCCCTGCACTGCTTGCTGCCCCATTCAGGATGGGCTATATAATTCGTGGGACCTAGTGTGGAAGCAAACACAGGGATCACTCTTTAAAACATTATCAATAATTTCAAGGCAGCAACAACAGAGCATGAAACAAAGGGCAAGGCCCTTCTAATCATGAAGCCCTATGCATCTGCACAGGCCATATGCCCATGAAGCCAGCTCTGCCTCTATCTCGAATACCTAGAATAATGCAGGGGACAAAATGGAGCTCAGTAGATATTTGAGGATATAGTAAATAAATTCATGTTTACGAGGACTCTTTTCTATTTGCTAGCATCATGGATTATCCATGAGAGTTTGGAAGGCCTTGTCAGAAGAAGGGGAAAGAGAGGAGATATAGGGTCTTTTTTTGCCTTTTCAATGGCATCTGAATACTCAAAGGGAATCAATACATTCACTATTAGATTTACCAGTGAGAAAATCAGTTTTAGAGTGAATTAATGCATTTAACCATGGAACTTACTGATGCAAGATGTCCTATCAAAAGAGGTTCTGTGTTTGAGAGTTAAAAAACTCAGCTGTGTAACTTATATTTAAACCAAAGATTTAGGAAATCTGCCAAGAGGCAACAAACCATCGCCATTTTAAAATTGGCATCTATAGGGGCACTGAGTGGCCCAGTCGGTTGAGTATCCAACTCTTGATTGTGGCTCAGGTCATGACCAGCCCATGGATCAAGCCCCACATTAGGCTCTGCACTAAGCGTGGAGTCTGCTTAAGATTCTCCCTCTCTCTCTCTCTCTCTCTCTCTCTCTCTCTCTCAAATAAAAAAAAAATAAATTGGCATCTATAGTGGGTTCAATGATGGTCCTCAATAAGGTGCCCACACCTTCATCCCCAGTCCTTATGAATGTGACCTTATTTGAAGGCGTAATTATTATCTTTTCTTTTTCATTTTGTATTATTTTTCTTTTTTTGAATATGATTTATTGTCAAGTTGGCTAACATATAGTGTGTAAAGGGTGCTCCTGAATTTTGGGGTAGATTCCCATGGTTCATTACTTCCATACACCACCCAATGCTCATCCCAACAAGTGCCCTCCTCAGTGCCCATCACCCATTTCCCCCTCTCCCTGCCCCCATCTGCCCTCAGTTTGTTCTCTGCATTTATGAGTCTCTTATGGTTTGCCTCCCTTCCTCTCTTTGTAACTATTTTTCCCCTTCCCTTCCCCCATGGTCTTCTGTTAAGAGTCTCACGATCCACATTTGAGTGAAAACATATGATCTCTATCTTTCTCTGACTTATTTTACTTAGCATAATACCTTCCAGTTCCATGGAATCATGAAACGGCGTGATTTCATTCTTTCTCATTGCCAAGTGGTATTCTATTGTATGTATAAACCATGTCTTCTTTATCCATTAGTTGATGGACATTTGGGCTCTTTCCATAATTTGGCGATTGTTGAAAACACTTTGCAGGCACAATTAACATAAGGATTTAGAAAGAGGAGATCATCCTAGAGTATTTAGGCAGCCCTAATTCCAGTAACAGATATCCTTATAAAAGACAAACACACAGGACAGACACACAGAAGAGGAGAAGGCAATGTGACCAGACAGACAGAGATTGGAGTGCTGTGGCCACAAGCCCAGGAAAGCCAGGGAAGCTACCAGAACCTGGAAGAGCCAAGGGATGCTTTCTCTCCTAGAGCTGCCGCTGGGAGCATGGGTGTGCTGGATTGTGAACTTCTGGCCTCCAGAACTGTGAGAAAATAAATTTCTGTTGTTTTTAGTCACCAGGTTTGTGGTAATTTGTTACAGCAGCCTCAGGAAACTAATACAGCTTCTGTAAGTAATAAGACCCAATAGAAAAAAAATGTTAAATAGCCAATGAGCACTTGTTAATAAATATACACATACATTTATATACATAAATTAAGATATCATAGATGGCAAAATGGTAAACAATGTCAAGCATGCTGGTAGAAGTCACATGTTTTTCTTCTTAAATGACAGGAAATGCTTCACTCCTCACTGAAACATTAGGAAGTGTTTAATGTCATGCCAAGGTGTAATTTTAATGATGCCCGTAATCAGGTCATGGAATATGAGAAGAACCAAAACATATTCAGCATTTTGCCTTTTTATTTATTTATTTTTTTTTTAAATTTTTTTTTCAACGTTTTTTTTTTTTATTTATTTTTGGGACAGAGAGAGACAGAGCGTGAACGGGGGAGGGGCAGAGAGAGAGGGAGACACAGAATCGGAAACAGGCTCCAGGCTCTGAGCTATCAGCCCAGAGCCTGATGCGGGGCTCGAACTCACGGACCGCGAGATCGTGACCTGGCTGAAGTCGGACGCTTAACCGACTGCGCCACCCAGGCGCCCCTAGCATTTTGCCTTTTGACAGTATCAGCCATTCTTTTTTTCATAAGACATATTGAGAACATGTATAATTGGGTCATTTGAGAAATTAAAAGAGGGCAATTCGAATACTGACAACATAAATGTAGTTTTTATTGCCTATGTCCATAAGTAATCAAAGCATGGCCTGCAAAAGCCACTCCGCTTACACTATTCTCTTTTTTTTTTATAGTTAAAGTGTTGCTTTCTTTTTAAAAAAATGTTTTATGTTTATTTATTTTTGAGGGAGACAGACACACAGAGTATGAGCAGGGGAGGGGCAGAGAGAGAGGGAGACACAGAATCCAAAGCAGGCTACAGGCTCTGAGCTGACAGCACAGAGCCTGAATTGGGGCTCGAACCCATGAATGGTGAGATTATGACCTGAGCCAAAGTCAGAGGCTTAACTGACTGAGCCACCCAGGTGCCCCTGAAAGTGGTGCTTTCAGTCATCAGATTAAAATGTGTATTTTTGATTCATTCTGAGGCTTCAGTGGTTTACAAATTGACAGTTTTTGGATTATAATTTTCATTTGACCCCAAGAATGATCACATTTAAGATGATCACATTTCCTACTTCAATTTTTCACATCAAAAATGATACCATGTGGGCGCCTGGATGACTCAGTCAGTTAAGTGTCTCTCAATTTCGGCTCAGGTCATGATGCCATGGTTTGTGGGATCAAGCCCCGCATTGGGCTCTGTACTGACAGTGGGATCCCATTTGAGATTTTCTCCCTGCCTCTCTCTGCCCCTCCCCCCCTCACACCCACTCACTCTCTCTCTCAAAATAAACATTTTAAAACATGACACCACGGACAGAAAGAAGGATGCTTTAAGTTGTAAAACCAGTAAATATGTGTTTCTCTGGAGCACTAATTGGCTAGAAATAGCAATGCTCACAGAAAAACTAATTACATATTATGAATAACTTGTTAATATTTTGTGGTTTTTTGGAATATTATTTGAATTACAGATGGAAAGGTAATTTTGTTGTACCATTATATTTCTTTCATAAAATCATTTCAGCCCATTTGCTGGTAAACATTGTTGTGTTAAAAACCCTTTCATGACCAGTTGCTTACGGCTGATATATGATCATCCCATGAAAATTAGTAAACTTTTTAAAAAGATCTTTCTTTTTTTTAATTTTTTTTTCTTTT